CGCCTTGATCATGGCAGCTGACAATGGCCACTTGGAAGTGGTGCGGGTTTTGCTCGATGCCGGAGCATCATTCCTGCCGGGGTAACCGCCTTGATGCTTGCAGCTTTCAATGGCCACGGTTTCGCTCGAGGCTGGAGCTGACCAGAATGCAGCTACGGCTGTAGGGTCAACCGCCTTGATGTTCGCAGCTCAGAATGGCCACTAGGAAAAGAAAGACGTGGTTTCTCTTGTCAACTTGAGGTGAATGACCAGGTGAAGGACCATGTTTCCACCGAGCCCACATCGGGTCGCATCGCATCGCCTCTATCTCGCACGGCTCGCCGTTTTCACTGTTCTCAACCGAGGAGCTTGAAAAGTTCAAGGCGCGGAAGACGAGCGTCGATTTTTTGTGCGGCGTGGCGCAGGGTCTTTCTGTCTTTTCGCTCCGGCTATGACTGGGAAAAACCCAAAAGGAGCAAAAGACGATTTAGAGTTGATGCCCAGAAGCCCTGGGCCCAAGACCGATGAAGACCGATGCCTCAGACATTGGGATCCATTCTAGAGGTGATCCTTACTCATTCCGAGATATTGAACTTTGAAGGATTTTGGGACTATCGAAATCCATGAGGTGGCACGGTTTCTTGTGCAAGAGTGCTGAGATCAGTGTACCACGTTGCTACATGCAGTAATCCCGCAGAGGCCAAAGCTCACCACAGCTAGCCCCTTTATCGCGCAGAGCTTTGTGAAATCCGAACGACTGTTGGATGTACGGTCAACATCCTGCTTCGGAGGCCAAACACGCGAAGGATTTGGATGCAAGTGCCAGCAAGTTCCAGAGCCATCTTGGATTGCAGGACGGCTCCCTGGTGGAAGTCCTGTCTGTGGGAACGCCGCACCGGCACAAAACCATGGACAAGGCCGCAAGCACGGTAGGCGCTGCTGCCTACATTCACGAAAGGGAGCCGCGGCGTACAGTATTCTGAGCCAACCGAAACTCAGGATATTTTTCTTGAAAAAAAGCGCCTGAGATCATCTGTGACTTTCACCATTCCAAAAAGGAGCGCTTGGAGTATGTGGAAGGGAAGATCAGCGCTTCCGCTGAGAAGCACGCGGAGGCGCGAAGATGCTGGGGCGCTTTGACGTCATGGCACACGTCATGTTTTTAGTGGGGAAGAGAACCCCTAAGAGATGAACCCCACAAGGCATTGTTGAAACCAAAGGAACTTGGAGCTGACTTTAGCTGTGTATTGTGCAGTGTCGACATTCGTTTCAATCTGGAAGCAGACCGCTCGAATCACCCCCAAAGGCGATCTCGCTGGGTTTGAGCTGGTGCATGGTTATGTAATGAAGTTAAAGCCAGCACGTCGCGAGTCTGCTGTTGGAAGAAACGGAACCCACCGCGAAGGAGCTGAGCAACATGCACGCAAAGGTCGAGCAGTTGCCTGGGGCCTAGACAGGTCGAAGAATCCAGCCGGGAAGGTGATTTGGGATTCCCCTGGTTGTCAGCGGCTTCAGAAGTGGGCCATCGACGTGAGATCCACGAAATCGCCCCAACATGACCTGGTAGGATTCTTTGGACGTGACCTGGTTGGTTCTGAAATCAAGATATCCTATACAGACTTCTTCTGAATTCTTCTTCGGTGAGTTTAGCTGACCACACCGGATGATGCTCAATTGCTCTGGGACCATGCTCAACCATCCAGGCACGGGAAGCTGCAAGAGGAGAAGAACCAGCGAGAGGAGCATTCTTTGAGCACACCTGTATATTAATACGTCTCACTAGTTTCCTGCTTCCGCGAGTTGTTCAGTATACCAAATCAAGCCTCACGCAGTCGTGATCATGTAGTAGCACTTGTCAACGCGGCGTCATTCGCTCACAAATTCACCGGCGAAACCTGAGGTCACCACATTGTTCCAGAGAGCAAATGGCTACTAACCTCAACAGGAAGACGACCCACCCAATCCAATGGTCAGACCATGTCAGACCCATGTGCGCAACATCTCCAGTGACCAACGGTTTGGGAACTCCGCCGAAGCCACTGTTGTAGGAGCGGGTGAAGTTTGTGGAGAGCCTGGTGGTGACTATGCTGTCACTGGGCGGATGAACTTGGTGCTTGTGCTGTTGCATTCGCCTGAGCCCGTATGAGCCCACACATGCATGGCAGCTTTAAGCTGTGAACAACGCTCTGTTGGTTTGCCCCCAAAAAAGACACTGTTCACCAAAAATCAGAAAAACTGTGTTTACTCAGTGGCCGACAGTGAGGTTCAATTAATTATGCATTCGATCTTCCGGTTCCACCAGCCATGCTGATTCCAACAAAAAGACCCAAGATCACTAAGTCACTAAATGAAGTGCTGGTCTGGCTATTCTACTTGCGATGGAAACTGGAGTGGAAAATTGTGTCAAAACATGTGCTTTGTTGTGTGAATGGAATGCATGTTTTTAAAGCCTTTATGCCACTACGCCTTTTGCTTTGCAAGCCTCTGTGGCTATAGTCTTGCAACATTTGTATTGCAAGTCTTTTGTAGCTTTTTAAGAGTCGCACAAATCAGATAGGCTGGTGGAACTGATGTCAGTTCTGGTCACAATCGCTGGGGTTGTGATTGTGGCGCCGTATGCCTTGGCGCAAGCGGGCTTGGGTTTTTGCATGATTTGACATAGGTCGACATGTATTCCCTCACACCAATCCTTGCCGGACCTTTGCAACGCTCGGTCCGGCCACGAGGAGGAACTAATTAGCGCTCAGACGCCATATCCACCACTCGGTGTGTCAGACTGCTGTCATGAAACGTATGATTATTGTGCACCGACAATGGCGAATTATGACATTGTTACCTTTTTGCTGGAAAAATATCTTAAACAGCTGTTCAAACTATTGTCTTTATAAACTTACAAGTAGAAAGATTTGAATACTTAGCTTAAAATAATTTGCTTGAGCCAACACGGCGTGAGCTGTTGCAATTTTGCAGTTTCGGCACGCCCCGCTTGTGGAGATTCGGTAGCAGATTCGGTAGACTTTGGAGTTGAAGTTCGGGCACAACCTTTTAAATCTTGCGATCTTGCACAAATGCTAAGAACACATCGATTGAAAACCACCAAAGAGAGATGCTGCACGTTGACATGTTGCTCAGATCGATTTGGTTGAACCACCAGTTGAACACAGTGCCACGAACCACTCATCCAAGGAGATGTTGACGGCGCAATCACAGACTAGGCTAGAGTAGTTTGATCCACAGAATCGCCAGAATGTGACTTGCCCGCATCAGACATCCTCTCGGGGCGTCCTTAGAGACTTCGCGACGATTGTATTGCAGGTTGACTTTTGTAAATACAGAGTTTGCCCCGGTCTCCCCATCAACTAAAGGCCTGAACCAATTGTCATGCATGTTCACATGAACACGCCCAAGCGCCAGGGAGGCTGCTAATTTGTGGATTAACATTGGGCCCAAGCTTTCGCATCAACCAATCTGCTTGCGCCCACTTGTGCGCCCACTTGCTGTTTTGAACAAGAAATCAACACTTGGTCCACCTCAAAATGAAGAATTCCTAGGCTCGTGCCTGGGATGCTCTTCAGGGCTGTTCTCTAGGTTGTGCGTGGCAGCGTCCAGCAAGATGGAAGAAAGTTCAGCAGTTTGTCCACACGTGCACACAAGCTGTCCACAACTTCAAGGATCCAGGAAACGCCATGTATTGAGACGTGTTGCACCTCCGTATGTGAGCCAGCTGTCGATATGTACCGGAATGGAGATAGGTGACAATTTCTACACTTCTAGCAGTTTTGTTTGCGTGAGTGATCCCGGATTGAAGATGCCTTAGACATCGTATAAACACAAGAACTTGTTGATTCTTTTGGCGCGCGCTAAGACGAACTAATAACACAAACAAGCAGTAGGCCTTCAAGCAGGTGTCAGTTTTGCACATGATGGCTGCCCGGCACTGGATGGCGTCCCCACTGCTGGTCTGCATGTGTTGAGGCTCCATATGGTGTCTTGGTGATGCGCGGGCAAACTTCATTGGATAGCTGGGATTGGTCAGGTGAAACCATTTGCAATATGTTGTGCCAACAGGGGGGTTAGCCCCGCCGGCAACATATATCCGATCGGTCTTTCAGGGGGGGGGGTGGGGGGGTTTACTACTCGCGTACATCGACTTTGACGTTGACTTGTCGGCTCGGTGACCTTTCGTTCGCTCGGTGACCGCTTTTCTTGGCTTAGAGGACGACGTTCGAGGTTTGTTTTAACACTGCGTAGAATGGGTGTTCTTGGCCGTTGCGATGCAAAGCTGCAACGACAGCACGTTGAAGGCCTCGCAGCGTTGTGGTTCCGCCAACATCCAGGGTTGGACTCAATGCTCGAGGCTGTCAGAATACATAGAGAGGCTGCGCAAGACACCTGTCCACCAGCTCAAATGTACAGTGAGCTCAAATGGCTCAGTTGGGAACAAGACTTATGTCCGGCGGCTGAACAATGAGCCTTGGCAAGCTGTACATGGAGCAGGCGGGTGAGTTGGGTCCGTCAAAACGCATTCAACTTCATGAGTTGCAAGACGATAACTTGAGTGTCCGGAAAGCCACGAAGCCCTGTAAAACACATGGTTTTTCATCCTCGGTGTGTTGCGTTCGGGGCTAAACCCCCCCCCCAGTTTACCCAATATGTTGCATGTTTGCATTCAACAGCTCAACAGCTTGTATTATCCAATTCATGATGCAAATTGGAGACCGGTATTTTTACCGTACTTACACACACAAAGCCGACACTAAATGTATTGCTGTTGTTTTGCCCGTTCCCGGTCTCTTTGGTAGCCACCAGGAAGACAAAAAGACCAGAACCCAAAACCCAAACACAAAACTCTGAGCAAGATCCTCGGTTGTACCTGGCATGGCGAATTTGTAGGGGGAGCATCAATATATATATATATACACATACACATGACTGCCGTGATACATTTTTATACATGGTACCCCTCAGGACGCCTTTGTTTCACTATCCGTATACGGCTTGGGTTAATATTGTATGTGTTTCACTCGCACGACCTTGAAACATTCGCGTCTCATTTGGGGCGTCTCACAGGAGGAGTGATATCAACTGGTGGTCAACGCATGAGCAAGATTGGTGGTCGTGAATTATATTGACATGAACAACTAACAATCGCTAACATACCAACCTTAAATGACCAGAGAAGTTTGACAAATTATGTTTGTTTTGCGTTTCGGTTCCAAGGACTCTTCAACCACTGTGCGATGCTGTGTTTGTGTTACCTGTGTGTTTCTCTTGATCTACCCTTGTTTGCTCACTCTTGGCAGAGGGATCGGTGAACATGTGGCAGTGTGACATAGCGTGGCAGCAAATAGCACAATAAAGCTGCAATTCACACCGATACACTAATCGATCGGTCTCAGGTTGGAGGCCATCGCTAGCAGGTTGGAGGCCATTGCTACTAGGATGGAGGCCATCGCTCTTCGGTT